TGTTTATTTGCTTGTGTATGTTTATTGGAGAAACTTCTGTTATTATTATTATTATTTATTTAATTTATACCCCGCCTATCTGGCCCACCGGACCACTCTAGGCGGTTATGTAATCTGTTTCACTTCAATAAATAAGTTCTGGTTTTGTTCACAAGTCAAGTGTTCAGACAAACATTTATATTGTGGATTGAGGTAATCCACTGGTGGCAGCGAGAAGAAAACACGACGTGAGTCTTTGTGAGGGAAAAACAAACAGGGTCCACAAGGGCAAATGCCACAATGACATCATTCCATTGTATTCTCGATGGCTTTCACGGCCAGGATCTGATGTTTTTTGTGGGGTTTTCGGGCTCTTTTGACGTGTTCTGAAGGTTGCTCTTCCTGACGTTTCACCAGTCTCTGTGGCCGGCATCTTCAGAGGACTGGAGTAGGAACTCTGTCCATGCTCTGTTGCTGTTTGTTGGATAGTTGAGTATTTATAATTGTGGGAACAGCTTTTGTCCTTTTCAGGATATAGGGTGATGATGGTGATCAGCATGTCTTTGTTGTGGATGTATTGTTGTGATAAGGGGGAAAGATTATCTGTCACTGTGATTGATGGGTGTCTTTAGCTGGTCTTTTTTGTGTAATGATCCCTGGTCCTTGTGGTTGGGTAGAGTTCGTTGACCTTTTGCAGGCTGTAGTTTTCAGTGCTAGGAGCCAGGCCTTGTTAAGTTTTAGACTTTCTTCTTTCTTGTTGAAGCTCCGCTGGCGTTTATGGATTTCAATGGCTTCCCTGTGCAGTCTAACATAATGATTGCTGGTGTTGTCCTGTACTTCAGTATCTTGAAATAGAGTTTCCTGTCATTTTTCTGGTTGTTTTAATCTGCAGTGTCTCTCATGTTCTTTGATTTTGGTGTGAATGCTGCGTTTTGTGGTTCCAATATACTGTATACCTATCCACAACTGAAGTACCAGACAACACCATCAATCATTATGTTAGACTGCACAGGGAAGCCATTAACATCCATAAACACCAACAGAGCTTCAACAAGAAAGAAGAAAGTCTAAAACTTAACAAGGCCTGGCTCCCAGAATTGGAAAGGACTACTCCAGTCCTCTGAAGGTGCTGGCCACAGAAACTGGCGAAACGTCAGGAAGAACAATCTTCAGAACACGGCCAAAGAGCCCAAAAAAACCACAACAACCAACATCATTATATTGTCTAGGTCTTTAGATAACATAAAACTGAACATAACCTAATATTTACTTATTTATTTAACTTATATGCCGCCCACACTACCCAAAGGTCTCTGGGCGGCTTAAAACAATTAAAATACAATTAAAAAGGTAAAACAATTACTGTATATTTCGCTCCATAAGATGCACCTCCAAATAAGACGCACCTCATTTTTAGGAGAGGAAAACCAGAAAAAAAATATTCTGGCAAATTCATAAGGCAGTAGCAATAGATAGATGTTGTCACATCAATTACCTCAAACTTCGTGCAGTGTACAACACAGTGAGAGCTTTTGAACAATTTGTAGTTGGCAAAGTTATTCCAATAGCCACAGACAACACTACAATGCTTTATATCAACCACCAAGGAGGAACAAAATCCATGTCTTCTTTGCTACTAACAGTACAGTTTTGGGACTGGTGTATTCTCAAGCATGTCATTTCACAAGTCATACATGTACCAGAAGTGGGGAATCATGAAGCAGACTTCTACAGCAGGATGACACACAATGAGTGGGAATTACAGTACCATCTCAAGTTTTAACACTTATAATGAATTGTTATTGCACTGAAAGAGATGAATAAACAGATTGTTGCTGGGTAGTCAATAAGAGCTATGATGAAGAAATCACCACCAGCACAGGTGTAAGCAAACAGCAAAGCATGCCTCACTTCCACTCCCTCCCTTCCTTCCTTACAGCAAAAGTTTTTTCTCTCTCCATCATTCAGTTCTTTACTGAAGGAGGATTGTGGGAGGAACATCTAGCCCCTGATGGGGGTCCTGTGGGGCACCCCAAAACACTGAGTAGCTCTCCTGGCCTCTTTCAGGACTGGGGCTGTGCAGCACTGTTCTGATCAGGAGGTACAGCCGGCGGTCACCATGCCTTTGGGGGATAGTGCACACAAAGGGCCAGGAGGCTTAGGGGCCATTCAAACTGAGACCTGGCAGGGGAGAGACCATTGTTGTAAAAGTGGTTTTCCCAGGGTAAGGCTCATCTATTGCACTTCAGATGAGCTGACCCCTGTGATTTCCCCAAATGTGGGAAAATCAACTGCCTAAGTGGGAGATTGTGTTTGTGGTTTCCCTTGGTCTTTCTAGAACCACTCTTTGGTCCTTTGCTATTTTCACTGCTTGCTGCCATAGGCCTGTTTGCCTTGCTGGTTTTCCAGGTGGGCTGCAGGAGGCAGATCCTAGAAAGCTAGCAGTGCAGAATGGTGAGGTCCAAACAGAAAGCAGTCTCTGCTGCCAGTTCAGAGGCCTCCCAGCATGGCAGTGGGAGGCTTTTGGGTGGAGGTGGCTGAACCCTGCATTCACTCCATAAGACGCATGCACTTTCCCTCCCACCTTTTTGGAGAGAAAAAGTGTGTCTTATGGAGCGAAAAATACGGTAAATACAATTCAAATATATACTCTAAAATTGTCACCAGGACCCACAGTTCATATTATTTCAATTAAAAGCCTTCTGGAACAGGAAGGTTTTGACCTGGCGCTGAAATGTCATCAGCGTCAGCACCAGATGAATCTCAGTTGGGAGGGCATCCCATAGTCTGGGGGCAGCTGCTAAAAAGGCCCTTTGTCTACAAGCCTCCTTCTTGCCTCCTTGAGGAACGGCTTTTTCAAAAGGCCCCCTGGCTAGATCTTAACTGCCAGGTAGGTTCATATGGAAAGAGGCGGTCCTTCAAGTATCCAGGGCCCAAGCCATTTAGGGCTTTATAGGTCAAAACAAGCACTTTGAATTAGGCCTGGGCAGCAACTGGTAGCCAATGTAATTTAAACAGAATCGGCTTGATGTGTTCCCTAGTGGCCCCACCACTCACCAGTAGTGCAGCTCGATTCTGGACCAGTTGCAGTTGCTGGACCATCTTCAAAGGCAGCCCCACATAGAATGCATTGTAGTAATTTATATGAGATGTTACCAGTTCGTGTTTAACTGTCATGAGACTCCGCTCGTCCAGGTAGGGCCACAGCTGGTATAATTTCCACAGCTGAAGGAAGGTGCCTCTGGCCACTGAGTCCACCTGGGCTTCCAGAGTTAGACTGGGGTCTAGGAGCACTCCCAGGCTGTCTGGGCTCTGTGTGCAGAGAGAGGGCGCTTAGGTGCAATTGTGTCAACCACCCAGGTCATCTCCCTATTCCATAGGGTGACCTGAGCTTTGTCAGACGTGCCGACTATATCAGATGGATAGTCCTCCAGAGCATTCAGGAAACCATCTGGATCCATTAGTCTCCGAGGATGGATCATCTTAATAGAGCCCCCACCCTTGCAGAGGGGAGAAGAAGCTAATAGACTAAACTTGACCAGGAAGTCGTCTGACCATTACAATGGGGTCACAACCAGCCCCTCCAGATCCAAACCACAATTTTCCAGTCCCTAATATGAGCTCTTCATTGCCTTTGTAATGGCATTCAGTAATGACATTCACCAAAGATATGATTCTACTAGAGCCAGGTATACCCAACTGGTAAAAAAATCTCTTTCAGGCAGCCAAACTGAGAAGTTTTATAACAGCTTGTTCTTACAGTGTTTCAGTTAAGGGCTCAGCTAAGACCAATGTGTAATTACTGAAGGATAAGAGCACTGTAAAGGCATGGACCCATATAAGACAGGGTCCCATGATGAATCCGGAAACTATTGTCTTTACCTGCAACGGTATTTCCTAGAGCTATCTTGACCCTTAGACTGGACCTAGACTTCTCTTTGTGATTCCTTGACTCTAGCATTATTACTTCTGGTTCTGACTGATTCTCTGGCTTCTGACTTTGGACTGACCTCTGCCTTTCATTTACTGAAGTAAATCACGTTAGTTCTTTAGCTAAAATTCTGTATGGAGATGAGGTCACGAGAAGACAGAGGAATAAGAAAACAGGTACAGATGTGTAACAGGTGTTGGGCTACACTGGAAATTCTAAGAATGTCCCCCCAAAACCCCTTTGAGGAAATTAGTTATGCTAATTTTGAACACAAATTATTAGGTGCAAGTTAGGCTTTTATCTGATAACAGTATTTTTAAAATATAAAAATAATGCTTTAAAAAAAGCAATGTCCTTAACAACTACTTCCTTGGTATCTGTATATGGAACAACACAAAGCCCTCAGCTAGATCCAAAAGCACATTAGATCATCACAGATATATTGGTGCAACAGGATAGACTCAGCAGGTAAACAGAACAACCAGAAAAAGCCTAAAATCAATTTATGGGGAAATGTTTACCAGAAGTTACATTCTTGGGAACAGCAGCCTTATCCTGCAGAAACCAAATCATAAAGCCGCTTGTCCCTATGCAATCTTTAAGAAGAAAATACTTTTAAATTTTATTTTTAGGAATTAAGAATATGTTGGTTTTAGTACTGTGCTTTGTGATTTTTTAATTTTTTTATAAAACTTTTACAGTTCATTAAAAATATTAATAAACATTCACGTAAAGATATTCTATTCCTAAACTACAAGTGGCTAACACACCATATGTGGGTGGAGCAACAGAGTGATTGTCTACTGAAATGGGCTGATAGCTTTTATGCCAGAAGCTATACATTTGAAAAAAGCAAAGTTTCAAAACTATTTAGCCTCCTTTTTTCTATGCTGGGGAAGGATGGGAACAGTAATAGAGGGAAAGGCAGAATCCCTGGCAGAATTTTGCCTCCTATGTTCCTAACTGCACAGATTGAATTGGAATTTTAAGTGCTACTGTTTTTATACCTTCACACATCTATGCAAACTAAGTGTTAAGGAGTAAACAGGTATTAGATGTAAATAAACAGATATGAATAACAAAGACAAACCTTCAACGCCACTTATACACTTCACTCGGTCCCGGACCTCAACATTGTAGCCCTCAAAGGACATGAAGACACCATCTGGTTGGTAAGGTGCTCTCTGTGCATACACTTTTGAGTAGCTGTGAGAAAATTCAAACCTGTCGTAGCCATCATACTGGGCAATTTTCCCATAGACTTCAAAGTACTTCTCCACCCAAGAGAATGGCAGGAAGACCTCATTCCCTTCCCTTCTGCCTTTAATTGTTTGCTCATCATTGATAATACAGTCTATTTCTTCATACTTAAGCCCCAGGATCTTACTCCCCTGGAAGCCTCCAACAACTGGGGGAGCCTTCTGCTGCTCTTGGGGCGAGGCTTCTTCACTCTGCTGCTTGGCTGGGCTGTGTACATAGTTGTTGCTTTCTGATGCAGCGGCTCGCTTTTCTATTCCATCAGCTCTGAAACTGCTGCTTGGGTTATGCAGAAATGGAGTTCCTTTGTTACTGGAACATCTATTCCACAGTAGGACTGTGATGAGAGTGAAGAGAACGCAGATGATGATTAAAGTCTTATAGTTGACCCGAGCTGCCAAGCAACGCATATTCACATCATATCTGAAAACAAATTAAAGCATTTTAAGAAATAAAAATATAGAAATTGAACATTTATCTGAGCTTTGAGAAACGCAGGAAGGGTTATACTAAACACATTTCAGTCACCTTTCTTGGAACCTACCTAACATCCTGATGTGAAAGACGTAAAACAAGAGGATTTTTAAAAGACAATCAATCAAAAGAGAAGATATATGAACAAGACAAAGTTTGCTACTACTCATCTTTCCCTGAAAAATCAGCAGGATTTTGATAGGGTACAGCAGTGATTCCCAACCTTGGGTAACCCAAGTGTTCTTGGACTGCATTTCCCAGATTCATTTGGCATCAGCTGGGAGTCCAGGACCACCTGATTTATCTAAAGTTGGGAGCCACTGGGGTATAGGAACACAGATGAGGCCTGGCACTCAGCCAATACTCTACATGAGTGGCTTGTATAGCATAGAATCTGATCCTGAATCCTCCCCAGACATTCCATGGTAGATATATCAATGTGGAAACAATTCCCCAAGAACAGAGAACCTGAGAACAGTCAATATACATATATCAAAACCAGATCAATCAAAGGCCAACATGCACAGAAAGTCTCTTTCTTTGTTAATTTGGAAAGACATTCCACACAGGGCAAAACAAAATATGACTGCATCCTTTCAAGTAAAAAAAAATCACACTTGCATTTCAGCAATGACTTATTCATTGGCAATGCCAAATAAGTGCAGGTGTAGAGCCACTGAATATTTTCAGCCAACAAAATTTATTCAGTATACAAATAAGAATTAGAATCTAAGGGGGTATGGCTTGGGTTCAATGGCAGAGAGTTTAACTCCTCTACATCATTCATCTTCAGAACATTGATGGGGAGAAAGAGGAAAATTCCAGGGGCTGATGGACAGGTAAGTGATCTTGTGTGTTTGCATGTGTGTGCCTGAGAGAGAGAGAGAACTGTTGTTGGGGCAAGATGTGGCCATGAGGAGCTAAATAAACCTTCTAATGCTTCTCATGAACTGTCCAGGACTCTAAAAGACAAGAGCCTTACATATATACAAACAACCCTCACATCTTAAACTGCAGACCCACAGAATTACAAAGCTGTAGAAGTTATAAATCTTTAAATCTAAACTTACATTGTGTCAGCAGAAAATGAAAGTAAAAATCTTCTAGTTTTTTGCATGCATGATATAGTTATTTTGGTGTTGAGCACCACCTGCTGGCGATTCCTATAACAGAAGTATGGTAAAAAGTGCTGTTTCTTCATAGCATGGAAAATTAAAAGGCTTTGAGCCATTCTTAGGACTAGTTCAAAGTAATACAAGTGGGTTGGAAAAAAGAGGACTCTGGTCAATTGAAATCTAGGTTATCTGATCATCTGGCGAGATTAATTCAAACTGAAATGGATCAAAAAGGTCAAAAATTAGAACCGATGGATATGAAAAGGGTGTTCAATGCTATAGCAAAAGTGAGTCAAAATGTTCTGGCAGCAGATTAAAATATGAAAAAAAAATTGAAACAGACAGTGGTAGACATGAGTCAGAATTTACAGGACTTGGGCAAGCAAGTCAAAACTACCCAAGAGAATTATAAAAAGTTAAAAACTGAATCTCAATTTAAAAATATGGATGATAAAGTTGTGGTTTTGTAAACCCATGTTAAATGCAATTCTACCAGATTAATGCACAAAGTAATGGCTAATACTGATTTAAAGGTCCAGATGGTATTACAGCAAGATAATGCTATAAGAAATAATCTCAGGATCACAGGAATTTGAGAAAGGAGACTGGGAAAGAAAGACCTAATGAAATTAATTTTGGCCTGGAGGGGAGCAGACGGAGCAGATGGAGGTACAGAAAAAAAATTGATGTCCACTCCACCACAGCCTGCCCCCTGCCCATGTTGCCTCCCTACCTTGGCTGTCACAGTCCATGCCCGCCACCGGTGCCACCTCCACTACTGCCACACACTTGCTAATGAGGCCTCATCCATCACCCGACTTGGCCACAGTCTGCTCCATCATTGCCTGCCATAAGATAACCAGGCTGCCTTTTGCAAACATGGCAGCTGTGGCTTCCCTGCCCTAAGGGAAGCTGCAGCTGTCATCTTTGCAAATGGTGGTCCTGTTTTCTTTACAGCAGGCTGCTAGATGCTAAGATGGTGCTAGAGGCTGGAGGCAGTATAGGTCAGTGGTTCTTAACCTTTGTTACTCTGATGTTTTTGAACTGCAACTCCCAGAAACCCCAGCCAGCACAGTTGGTGGTGAAGGCTTCTGGGAGTTGCAGTCCAAAACTCCTAACCCAGGGTTAAGAACCAGTGGTATAGGTCCTGGTGTATAAGGGAGTGAAAAGGAGCAGGCTATTGGGGAGGCTGTCTGCCTATGGGCCCACTGATCAGCTGTTTAGCAGGGCCTACAGGCAGAGTGAGAAGGCCAGAAGCAGAATGGAAAGGCTAGCTTTCTCTCTCTGCCTATGGGGGATGAATAAAACTGGAGAAATAGTCATCCTCTTGTATTTGTTGAGGTCTCCGGAACTGACAAATAGAAAGGGAAGAATATTAAACAAATCAGCAATTTTAAACAAATATTTCAATTCATTTTTTTAATTCGTCCCCCATCTCTACTTCTGACATATATTTTGAGAAGAAACACAGAACTAGAACATCGTAATCAAGGTGGCATTCTCACTGGGCCCATTACTCCTTCTAATAGTGATAATCAAGCTGAAATATATGAGTGGAAACATGTTACCAGTCACTTTATCTTGCATTGGCTGAAACTCCAGTCTTTTTCCTTTTTCCTTATCTAAAATGAGGCAACTTCATAGTTGTGCTGGTGATTACAACACTGCAAGAAATGACTTCACATTTCCTTAAATAGGAAATTTCTACAGTAGCGTAGGTAGCACTACTGGGAAACAATGGAATCTCTTCTGTCTCTACAATTCATTCTAGCTCCTTCAGGATACAGTACAATAACTCTGTAAAACAAGAAACAACACTGGACTTCTTTCCTATTAGGTTGAAACATTTCACTACTCATCCAAGTAGTTTCTTCAGTCTGAGGAGAGTTTGTAAGGAACTCCTGATAAATCCTCCATGGTTTCACTTTCCCCTTGTCTGAATAGGCTCGTTAGAAGGACAAAGGAATGAGAGTGAGTGAAAATCCTACATCTGCAGTCCTTTTCCACATATTATTATGGGTCATTAACAATGGTCTTCCTGATCTTTTTGGAGATGGATGTACAGTGGTGCCTCAAATAGCGATGTTAATGTGTTCCACAAAAAACATCGCTATTGGATTTCATCGCTATTCGAAATACAGTTTCCCATTGAAATGCATTGAAAGCCGGCTAATCCGTTCCAATTGGAACGAATTGCCGTCGCTATTCAAAAATCTCCATAGGAAACATCGCTATTCAAAACGCGGTTCCCCCATTGAAATGCATTGAAACCTATTCAATGCATCTCAACGGGGGAAAAAATCAACAACAAATTAAAAAAGAGTGCAGCCGCCGCCTCCTCGGAGGAAGAGGAGGAGGTGGAGCGGGAGATGGGGAGCTAGGCGCACGGCCATGCCAGGGCCCTTTCCCTTCCCCCGCCGCCGCCCAGCAACAGGCCCCCCCAGCACCGGGGCCCCACCTGCCCGCCCTCCGCAAGCTCTCGGCCCACAGTGACGGCTCCAAGGCCGGCAGCCCTCAGCCCCCGGGGGGCTGGTGAGCGCGAGAACATTTTAAAAATGCAGGTACTGTAGCAAACGCAAGGCTGTTTAAACCATCACTACTCGATAATCACCCATAGGAAACATCGTTATTCAAAGTGAAAAAATGCCCCGAAAACCTCATCGCTATTCGGTTTCCTCGCTATTTGAAGCACTCGCTATTCGAGGCACCACTGTACTCATTTTGGACTGAGATGATAGGTGGATTCAGAGAGGGGTAAGGGAGGCCACACATGTGCATTAGATCATGCACTAACTCTTTCATTCCTAGCAGAGAAGTATACATGCCAATTTAAGGGAAATCTGTTTGTGGCTTTCATTGATTTGAAAGCTGCCTTTGACTCTGTCAACAGACTTATTTTGTGGGAAAAGTTAGCTTCATGGGGAATCCCCCCACGTCTACTTTTCCTAATTTGTAAATTACATTATGCCAATTCTTGACAAGTTCGTTATGACTGCTACGTCTACGTCTCCGAGAAGATCCCAGTCACTAGAGGAGTGAGACAGGGCTGTGTTTTAGTCTCGTTTTTATTTAATCTTTTCTTAGCAGATCTACGTCCTCAGTTGTCACCAGCTGAAAAGTCTGCCCCGTTTTTAAATAAGGTACCAGTACCTCTTTTGTTATATGTGGATATCTAGATCAGGCTTAAGACAACTTCTCCTCCTATTTCAATCATATTGTTCACGCAATGATCTTGTAATTATTGTGGAGAAAACTAAAATTATGGTTTTCTCAAATCTTGGAAGCCTTTCCAGTGGAAAATTAATAGGTGTACTGAACAAGTCAGAACCTAGGTATATCATTCCATTTCCAACTCAAGTGGACTACACATAGAGATTCTGTGATAGCTTCAGTCTCATATCTTCTCGGAACTATAACTAAATTCCATTATAATGCTGGGAATCAGTTTGTCCCAGCTGCCATTCATATTTTCCAGGCTAAACTGATTAATCTCCTGCTCTATGGCATCCCAATCTGGATCAATGCCATGAACAATAAAGTTGATCTATTGGCCGCCTCTTTCTATAGACGGATTCTAGGGATTCCCAACTTCCTTGGGGAAGAGCACCTCATTTCGTTGCACCCACTTGTGAGCGCAATGACAAATAAATTTCTTATGTCTTATGTCTTAATTAAAGTATCTACTATAGCCCTAGAGCTAGGCCTGCACCTCCCCTCAACGACGGTGTGGGCACTCACTTTTAAATTCTGGTTATGTCTCTTTTTTAAAATAGACCCAGAGTCTCTCCTAGTTCATCTTCTTAAAAACCCTTACCAATCCACATGGTTTACACA